TCTCTCGTGTTCGGCTCGTTTACACCCCTAGTTGCCACGTGAGTTTTTCCTAATCTGTTGATCGCTCTTTATTCATTACACTGCAAGTATACTTTAAAATAAGGGCATTTACATACATATTACATAAATTTTATTTTTTTACATTTATAACGCATGACTAAGGTTCTATTTAGATCTATCTGTCAATGATTTTGGCAGGTTGCTCGTGTTCCTATGAACAACTTATTATATAACTGTTCACTGTTAAAAATAAGGCACCCTAATGGTCAAAGAACATAACCAAGTAAAGTGAGATCAATGCAATTTGTTAGATGGAGTGTTATAATTCTTCCAAAATATATAAAAACCCCTTATAAATAAGCCATCTTTTCGTGCATTCGAGGGAGATTTTTTATTATGGAGACATGTATTGGACTTTGAGAATTATAATGCTTTGTCTTCTACAAAATGATGTAGGCAGTAGGTCAATATTACTCGCTCGCCTTTGTTAGTATCTAACATTATCCATCAATCATTGTCAATCCTCATTATCTTAACTGCTTAATGTCATCTGAATGTTAAAGCTTACTGCCAACAAGTTACCTAGGTCTAACAAAACCCTTTTTAGTGGCCAAATTCCCCTAATTAAGTTAAACCACATTACATCACTTAACCTTTGGCATGATTTTTTAATCATCACTTGTTGTTCGCCAAAATGTGATGTTTGGTGTCCAATAGCCATGGCTATCTCACGACACCTACTATGGATTATGTCTTCTAACCCCTGGTGAAAGATATAAACCTTGTTGGTCATCTGGTCTCCCCTTCTATAAAAAAACAATTGGTAAAAAAATATGACTATCTGCTCTTGATTGTTTTTGTTAATTATTGTCTAACACTGACCAACAATTAACATTCAAAGGAAATCAACCATTAACATCTGATGAAGTCTTCCCTATCACTAGATCTCTAACCATGCCAATCACTTCATATTGCTAGAAGATAACTCGAATATCTCAAAAAAATTACTTTCATAAATGAATATATATATATATATATTGGTGGTCCATTTCATGTGTATTAGTTTAATGCCTTTCATCAAAATAATCATTTCAACTATGTTAGGCCTCTTGACTTCATATTTTTTCTCTACATCTATATAAAAAATCTCATATCTCATAAAAGATGCTCTCAACTTATATGCAGGTTTGTAAAATTCTTGTTTAATGTCAAAATGATAATTTTTTCTATCTCCATTAACATTTTAACATGGAAGAGTTTGTTATCGATTATGGAAAATGAGTTTATTTTTTGTTTTTTTTAGTTCTTGTCAGTTTGTATGGCTTGAATAAAGTGAAAATTGTGCAAGGGATGCTACATCGGTGTTCGGGTGTATTATTAAATAAACAATGGTTCCCACATTATGGATAGATGCGGGCAATGAAGTTAGTCCGTGAAACTAAAATTAAAATAAGATCTTAGAATATAGGTAGTCTCACAGGTAAATTAATGGAATTAGTAGATATTATAGTACATAGAAAGATTAATATCATATGCATTCATGAAATTAAATGGGTTGAAGAAAAGACTAAAGAGATCGATAGCTTAGATTTTAAACTTCAGTATTCAGGTATGAGTCATAAAAGAAATTGTGTAGGTGTAATAATATATAAGAGTTTGAAAGATATTGTCGTAAAAATTAATATAATTAGAGATAAAATATAGCTATAAAGATTGTTATTGGTACTAAGATTCTTAAGGTTATAGGTGTTTATGCTCCTCAAGTAGGTTTAGATATATGTTCAAAAGAAAATTTTTAGAATGAATTAGACAAATGATATCTCTTGACATGTTGTTGGAGTGGTATAAAATTTTAAAAATATTCATAGTGGTTAAGGCTTTGGAGGGATTAATTAAGAAGGTAAAACCAAATTGAATTTTGCTTTAACTTATTATTTTTTTATTGCTAATACCTTATTTAAAAAAAGAGATAATTACTTATAAGATTAAATATAATAAAGCACCAATTGATTATTTTCTTATGAGAAAAAAAGAACGTCGAGAATTTAAAAATTGCAAGGTCATTCCAAGTGAAAATATAAGTGCTCAATATCGATTATTAGTTTTATATTTTAGGAATAAAAGTTGAAAGATAAAAAATAAAATGAAATATTGTCATAAAATTAGATAGGGACACTTAAAACACAAAAAAATAATTATTTTTATGTGTAAACTTTAGAATTTTAAGATTTAGTATGCTCTTAAAGAAGTTAATTCTATGTGTGATAAAGTAACAAGCACTATTAAATAAATAACAAAAGATGTATTTGGAGATTCAAAAGGAAAAATTTTAACATATAAAAATAGTTAGTGGTTGAATCATAATGTACAAGATAAGATCAAACATAAAGATTTTTGTTATAAAAATTTGTTTAAATGCAAAAGCTTAGAGAATTGGGAAAATATAAGTTGAATTATATAAAGTCTTAGAGAATAATTTGGGATGATAAGAATTATACTTTTTGTTGTCTTTATAATAGATTAGATACTAATTAGGGTAAGAAAATATGTATAAGCTAGCCAAACAAAAAGAAAGGAAAAATAAGTATAAAATTCAAGTAAATTTTATTAAAGATGAAAATAAAAAAAAGTGAAGATATTCAACATAGGTTGGTAAGATATTTTCATAAACTTTTCAATGAAATTTTTAAAAATAAGATTAACTTTAGTAATCTTAATGTTGTTAATAATAATAAACCATTTATGTTTGTCATCACATTAATAAAAAAGATGTTGAGGAGGTTTTAAAAAAAATTAGGGGTGAAAAATTAGTAGGGCCTAATGGTATCTCAAAAGAAGTGCGAAAATATTTAGAAAATTTGAGAATTTCTTGGCTTACTAAAATTTTTAATATTATTTTGAAAACTATAAAGATGCCTGAGGAGTGGAGAAAGAGTAATTTGGTCTTATTTTTAAGACTAAAGGGAACACACAAGAGCATGCAAATTATAAAGGAATTAAGTTAATATATCATATATTATATCATATATTAAAATTATGGGTTATGGGAGAGAGAAATTGAATATAGTTTAAAACGTGATGCGAACATTACTCATAATCAGTTTGGATCTTTGTCAGACAAGTCTATTATGGAAGTTATACATTTATTGAGAGGTTTAATGGAGAAGTACAAAGAGAGTAAGGAGGATCTATATATGATATTTATTGATTTAGAAAAAAAGCTTATTTTAATGTTTCAAGAGAAGTTCTTTAGAGGGTTACAAAAAAG